AAAATTAAAATTTCTTACCAGAAACATTCTGTAATGCTCTAAATGCAGTCTCTACTTACGTAGAGCTGAGAAAGGGAAATTAAAATTCCTATTACCAGAATATTATCCCTAAGTTCCAGGATTCACAAGATATTAGAGGGAGCCAGTTTCTCCTTTACCCTACCAGGAAGTTTATGAAAGGGATGTGATGAAAAAAGAGTTTATATTAAGGAGAATTTTAAAAGAAAGTAGAGGGTGAGAAGTGAGAGAAACAGATGGGTTTTTTCTTCTGAGTGTCACTATAGACCCTTGATTCAGACTTGGTTAGAGGAAACTATTACAATTTCAGGTTTTTTTGTCTGAGAGCAGTACTGAATCTATGGTACTGCATCTTTCTTCCCATTTTTATCTTTTTTTTTTTTTTTTAAATCCCCCTTTTTATCCCTTTTCCACTGAAAGGGAAGTAATTACCGTCTTGCTCTGCCCTGAAGACCTTGCTTGAGGCTGAATAAGCTATTGTCCCTGCATTTAGAGAACAAGCAGACTTGCAATAAGTGCCTTGAGAACTTGCTGGGGAATTCTGCAGTCTTTGCTGATGCGGGAAGAGATGCAGCAGCAGCTAAGACCCAGATGTCCAAATAAGCTTCTATGTCTGCAAGATGTAAACAAACAAAAGCATTTCTGTACACTAGTGGCAGGGTATCTGTCATTATCCTACCTATATCCTTAGAGCAGATTTGTAAACTACTTTCAGTTGTTATTGAATAAATCTATCATGCCAGGATTTCAAACTGGTTTTGCTTTGTATATGTCAAAAGTAAAAACCAAAACATAGAATTGCTACCCTGAATAGAAACAAAAGACTGCTGTATCTTCTCTGAGAAATGAAGTGCTCCAGGAAAATTCAATGTAAGTAAAAGATTATCCACTCTGAAGCTATTTATCCTGAATTATCAATATTGCTTAGGATGTCAACAAAGCACTAACTGTTTTTTTTTTATCTACTATAGGCTACTACTGGTAGAACTAGTAAAATTTCTCTAAGTTTTTTTCTAGTATTGTTAAACAAAAGCATGCTTTCCAGGACAGAAGCACTCTTTAAATCTCGCATGCTGGTTTCCAAGACAGTATGTGGCTTCAAATAAACTGTCCCTCTTCTTAGTGTGGTAAAAGGAATTTTTCAAATTTCTCAGCCTAATCAACAAATCTTGTTACTTTGTCATTTTCTGATTCTTTATTTTCTAGCAGAGTTCCAGATGATGTGGTGAGCTTGAAACCTGCTCACAATCAATCAATTTATTCTAATTAGTATTTGAAAGTATCAGAAGTACCGTCTCCAGCCTCAAAGAAAAATAGGTAAAGTGCTTCCTCAGTGCAGTAGGCATGTAAGTTTAGTCACTGACTCAAGATCCTAGTATTACATATGTTAGAATCTGCCTATGAAATCCTCAGACTTCTCTGGGTTCACCTACATAAAATAGAGATGCAGGTATCTTTTCCCTCACCTGGTGATTCCTCCATTCCTTCAAACATGTAGTTTTGCAGAGTAAATGAAGGAAAGGTATGCTGAATACTGCTGTTCTCCCAGAGCTGTCCCTGTCCCAAAATTTCATTAGAAGAACTTATTTGACTACTGCACTAGTGAATGTAAAAAAACAAATTCAATTACTACTTTCCACAAAATCAAGATTTAGAATATTTCAGACAAAATACTGATGATTTTTAATGTGGAATAATCAAACTTGAATGAGTTAGCTTTGATCTGTCTCCAAGAAATCTGTATATGGAGCAAACTCAGATATAGAATTAACAATTTATAAAGCTGATACTAAGGTTTTAAGATTGTCCTATCTAATTTTCTGCAATAGTATCTTCAAAAATCTGAAGTGAGAAGATGGTAAAACCAAATGTGTAACCCAAATGAAATGTGGGTTAAATAGAATTATCCTGTCCTCAAACCACGGTTCAGAGGAAATTAATGTTGAATAACAGTTTGGAAGACACTTTCTAACTTTATTTTCTTACTTCACATACACTTTAAATTCTCTTCCTTGTTATTTTCTTGATCTGGAATTAGTTTTCATCAAGTTAGTCACAGCAGTAGGGAATATAGTTAACCTTAAATGTTGAAAGTATTCAGAGTATCCAGACTGTTTTGCTTCTGACATAATTCTGAATGGTTGTAAGCAGGGACACCATTGCATGAGACTGATCTTCCTCCAACACTTTCAGTCCTGGGCAAAATAGTTTACTGCAGAGAAGACAAAGCAGCAGAAGGAGTGGGAGATGGAAAAGGGACATAAGTAACATAAACAGAGGCTGAACAGCATGGAGAGATGACAACTAGGAACTGGAGTAAATACTTCCTCCTTAAGAGAGAAAGCCGGGAAGAGACGAGAATGACTAAGGATGTTCAGAATAAACTGTACTAGTAGTCAGACTCTGAGAACATCTGTGCATAAACGTCCCTCACGCAGCTACTTTTCAGTTTCACCTGGATGCTATGGTCTGCCTTTCTGCCCTCATGAGCTTTCTTTTCCATGACCTGCCCTTAGATCTTTCTGCCCTCAGCTTGTTTGGTTGAAGAAGTGAGGCAAAGCCAGCCCTTGTATTGCCACCGTGAGGGATACTTACACTCTTTCCTACCAAGCTCTGTGTTCGGGGCAGGTACTTTGGAGCAAGGTATGTTTTCCGTACTCCTCACGATGTTACTCTGCTTATTGAAGTAGCTTGTTCTGCTTCCTCTGGCTGCATTTCTGGTTAATTTGAACAGTGACTGTTCTGAGTTGTTACTAAAATAAGACTACTAGTAAACTTTTGACTAATTTTTTAAAGATCTCATTTCTGGAGTAGCTTCCAAAATTCACAAAATGTCACATCAAATGTAGATGGTCAAGGTTGTTTGTTTTTTTTTTTTTTTTTCCTCATAAATTGTAAACATATATATGGATAGTGTAAAAGAGTGTCTGTGTGTTTGTGTACAAATACATTTGTGTATTACATGCTGGATGTGAAAAGGAGTGTAAGCCTGGCCCTCCTGATGACAAGAGAGTTATGCCATTTACTTCATTCAGGACAGGATTTCATCCATAGCCTCTGAAAATTATAATTGTTTAAAATGCCAGAAACTTGGCATGTCAATTCTTAGACAATTCTGTGGGGGGGGGAAATAGCCAAGTAGCTGTTTATTTCTTCTAACTCAATTTGGAAAGAGTATAATAGATTTGAGTTGGGATGCTACAACTGGTTCCAAAGTTAGATGCCTAGTTTTCATTTGCAAAGTAATTTTTCTGCTCCAGTGTCTACCTGTAAATAAAGGAGAAAAATGTTAAAATAGTCACCAAAAAGGATATTAAAATATTTGACAAATGTTTTTGACAAAACTACTAGATAATACTGTGGCTTTAAATGTCTTCCGCAAAATGTGAAAAGATTACCTCCACTTTTTGGAGAAAAAAAATACAGCACATGCTGTCATCATGTTTTTTTCTTAGGTGAATACTGAAGGGAAAATACTTGACATAAGTATTTATATATTTATCAGGACACAGCTCCCTCTTGTGTAATTCATGGTAACTACAGAAAACTAAATTCTATGATACCTATTTATGTATTTACTTTTACTTTTCTTATCAGTGATATTTTAGGTTTTGGGATTCCATATTTCCATATAATTTCAGTGCCAGGACAGATAATACCACTTACAGTAAGGCTGCACTAAAACTACATTTAGAGGAATATTACTTTTGCTCAAGGACATTCTTTTCATGTCCATAATCAAAATCTTGGGGGTTTTACTTAAAATGAATGTCTAATCTGCTATTTATTATTGCCGCTATGTCTTTCTTCCACATAACTTTATAGGATTTTCTTTTTTTTCCATTTATACTTTGATGACTTTTGGAAAAACTCCAGCTGTTTTTATTCTCTCGTTTTTGTGTCCATAGGAGTTCAGAGCACCATAGTCTGATTGTTACCCTTCTGTGGCTAAGCTTTGTGTAATTCTCTTCCTCTCAGTGAAGACACACTTTAGAACTAGTACCAGAATATGTGTAAAGGAAAAGCTGGAAAGCTTATTTTTGCTGCAGCACTTATTTCTGACTCTACACAGAAAAACTGTGTTTCATTAATTAGATTGCTATTAACACTGAAAGAGTTACCTTTGGAATAGAAACTTTAAAAAAATAACTGTAGTTCTTCCTATAACAACACAGTGCAAAACCCCACATGACCCTCCTGGAGGTGCATGAGAAAATAGTATGGAATAGGTAAGCAAGCTCAGATCTAGAAGGTACAAACAAACCTGGTGCTAATGGTTTAACTGCCACATAAAATTGTAAATTGTGGGTTTGTCCACAGAAAATGAATCATCTTGGGTGGATCCGCACAGCCCAAGGCTAATGCAGGAGAAAGTGGCATCACTGACTAAAGTAGATGTGAAGATCCTATTTTTTTTTATCTTAATACGTACCACCATTATAATCAAGTAATGTCGACATTGTGTACTCATTCCTCCCTGAAGAATTCAGTTTATTCACAGAACTGCGGTGGTTTGCTATTTTAAATCGAAATTTATTGTCAAACAAACATTTATTTTAAAGTAAACAACCAACCCAACCAACCCCAAACTTGGTAAGGTGGGTCTGAAACCGGCTGGCGGGGAGGGGAAGGAAACGCGGTGGGTTTAGCGTCTGAGGACACCCCGGCCTGCCGCGCCTCACGCTCTGCCCCGGCCGCCGGCTGGTTCGCTCCCCCTCCCGCCGCGCTCAGCCGCTCCTCCTGGGAGGCACCGTCCCCCTCACCCCGACCCGCCATGGCGGCTGCGAGGGCCTTTGGGCAGCCAGCGCGATCGCCCGAAGGCGAGCTGAAGGAGGCGGCGCAGGAGGCAGGCGCCGCCGGGGCAGCCCCCGCTTGGCCGTTGGGCGGGGGTGGGGCCTGATTTCGAACGGCGCAAGCGGCCCAATGGGAGGCGCGGGCGGGGCGCTGGGTCCGAGCCGGGCGGTAACGGGCGGTGGGCGGGATGCGGCCGGGCCGGGGCTGAGCGGCCGCGGGGATGGCGGAGCAGAGGCGGCGGCTGGCGCGGCTGGCCGTGCTGGAGGAGCTGCGCGTCTCCTACGGGATTAAGGTGAAGAGCGGGAGCTGCCTGGCAGCGTCCAAGCAGCCGGGAGCGGCGGCCGCGGAGGTAAGGGGGGGCAGGGCGGTAGGGCTGCGGGGCTGGCGGAGGGCGCCCGCTCCCCGGGCCGGGCCGGACCGGGCAGCGGCGGCTGCCGCTGTGGGAGCAAAGCTCACCCGGGGTTAGAGGCCGTTCCCCGGGTGGCCGCCCGCTCCGGCATCAGTGCCGGAGCCCTCACGCCGTTGTTCCTGGCAGGGTGTAACTTTCTCCGGGGGAGACGCCTTAGCCCCGGCAACGGGGAAAGTCGGGTTTTCCCCCTTTTTCCTCAGCGAGCGAGCGCTCCAGACGGTCGTCAGGACACCCCGTGTTGTGATTTAGTGAGATAATGGCTTTTGTGGTGCTGAGCTCGCCCCCGCCCGTTTCGGACCCGAATGTTGAAAGGCAAACCCGATGGTGAACGGAATGTGTTCCTCTTTGTGTTAGTGTGGTTGTTACCCTCCCAAACACGCATGCATGCTTCTGGCCTATGCAGGAGCTTTTTGCACTTTACTGTGCTTAATGGCACTCGCTATGGGATTTAAATCTTAGTCACTATATTACTTCTTGGAATACATAACTACTGTGTAGTTTCTCAAAGCTCTATGTCTTTTATTTTACTTGATTTCGTAGATTTTTTTTGTTTGAAGGCCTTTATGTGCATGGTTTCCGTTTCTTCGTACAAGATGTGACTATAGGTATTCTGGTATAGACAGACCTGGGCTTGATTTGCCTGTGCTCTGAGGAATTAAATTTGCCCTGTAATTTTAAATACCTACTTTGAATTTGTTGAAGGAAAAAAGTGTGTTTTCTGTGTCGGGACTCTTAATTAAAACTAAAGTATCCTAACGGATGTCAGTTCATGCAACACTGAAGTCCATTTCAGAACACTGTTCTTCTGGTAGGCTCTAATTTATAAAGCATGGAACACTATCAAGTCCTAAACAAGATCCCTGTGCAACTGGTATAGCACAGAACTGAGCATTCTCAGAACGAGCTTTCTGTAAGGCTGAGAAGATGCTACAAAATGCTGCAGTAAACCTTGGTCAATGTAAGGCAAAGAAGTTGCAAAAACATATGCTTGAATGGGGTTGTTTGGAAAGGGAGAGTTCAAGAGTAGAGAGAATTAGTTTCTTCCCTCTTGTCAGTATCAAGTATATGGTTCTAGACTGGCTTGGGTTTGTTTTTTTTTTTTTCATTTGAAGGGAAGGTAATAAGAATTGTGAATAATATATTTATGTCATGATAAAATATGTCTCTAGCTGTTTGTAGTGCTTAAATTTTATGCAAGGAAGAAAATGTATATTTGAATTACAACAGAGCAAGGTAGGAAAAGATATAGAATAACATTTGTTTTGCTGGGGGGCATTCTATTTCTATTGTAAGGGAACAGACAGGTTTATTTTAAGAATTTAAATCACAACTGATATTTCAAACAAAACCTTGTAAAGTGAGGATATCAATTATGAATTTTAAATGTTGAATTACAAGCCACTGGAATTCTCTATTAAATAATGTTGTAAATACAGAAAAACATTGTATCTTGGAGTTAATTTTCTTTTTGTACTTTCAGTAGCAACCCAGAATACAATGACAAACCTACGTTGCTTCTCTTTCCTTATCATGTTATGCTTGTTTTCTGTAGGACAGATAGGCCCAAGGTGACCTAATGGGTTAGTTGTTGATTAACTACTTTCCCAACATGGTCAGCACTTTGAATTTCAGGTATAAATGACCAAGAGTTTGCATTCATCTCTGATAACAAGTTGGGCATGATCCCAATCCTTGTCTGGTTGGGGCAGGGGCTGGCTTGCATGTTCTGTAAATATAAATAGTAAAGAGGTGGGGCAAAGAAATAAAAGTACAAGTTGTTATGTCAAAATGTGGGCTTTTATAACTAAAACAACTGTGCAGTGACTTCGGATAAACACTGTAGGTGAACGTGACTGAAGAAACCGCTTGTTTTCTAATATGTCACAGATATTCTGTCTTGTTATAAGGGAACAGTTGTAAGTTTCTTAAATACAAATTCTAAATATGAGAGTTTCAAGCAGTTTTCTAGGCTATTCTGTTGAGTTAAATTCTCCCTGAAACAGCAATCTTGAGTGACTCTGATAAAGAAAAATATACTTTAAAAAAAAAGAAAAAGTTACTTCAAATGTGTTGTGTTGATTTTTAAGAAAAATAGGATTTAGTCAATTTGAAAATGTAAGTGATATTCCAGAACAGTCTGTTTAATATCCTTACTGACTATGGGGCCTCATAGGAAAACTGACTCCTTGTAAAATACAAAGTGCAAAACATACTGCAGAAAACCTTTCTATTCTTTCAAACTAATCTGGGGTGTTCCCTATAACTAGAATCAGCACCATCTCAGATATCTGGAGATGACAGTGCTTTACCTGACAATACCTCTTCTGTTTTATCTGAAAGACCTTGTTTTTTGTATTAACTACTCTTCTGTTTGTGGAATAAGTACTTTGCTGTAATCTGTAGTTGGTAATCCTATCAATTTTTGAAAAACTTTAATTGGATTTTGTATTTTAGGGTAAAATCTTTGGAGTATCATTCCATGCATTGCCACAATCATTTGTGCCAGAATATGGTTATATTCCAAGGTAAATTAACACTATACTTAGATTTACATTTGCTTTGCTAGCTTCATAGTATTGAACTCTTGTGAGAATATATTTGTTCCAGACCTCCTAAAGCTTATGGGGGATATAAGAGTAGTTTCAGTTGGGGAAGGAGGGATGCAGAAGTTAGATGGGTAATTCAGAGCCACAGCTATCATTTAGTTGTATTTCATTGTATTTCTCGTCATTGGGGAAAACTATCATATATATTAAGTTTTATCTATTTATCATGAAATAGTTTTTCCAGAAAAGCTAATCTTCATTCTGAGTGTCAAAAGTATGTTACTTTTCTTTCCTCAGCTTTCTAGTTGATACTTGTGAATATTTGGAAGAACATGTTCATACCGAGGGACTCTTCAGAAAGTCTGGATCTCTTGTTCGTTTAAAAGCTTTAAAGGTATTCTTTAAAGCCTTTTTTTTTTTTTTTTTTTTTTTTTTTTTTTTTAATAAACTGCATTTCACTTGATCATCTGCACGTTTTAGTTTTTGGACTTTTTTTGGTCATATTCAAGTTTTAATACTAGAAGTAGACTGGTAACATCACCTGCTTTAAAAATGAGAGGAGATCTAGTTTGGAAACTGGTAAACTTCACCTTTTTTTGGGGGGTGTGTGGGTGTGCGTGGGTGTAATTTTTCAGCTTTCCAGATGGTGAGAATACATTTGTGACTAACAAACCTGTTAGCAGTTGTGCACACTGGATACTGTGAGGATATTTGTTTAGCAGCCTTCTCCCAGAAGGATGTGTACCTAGGAAACCTGTAAATTAACACATGTGGTCTGACAGCATTGTCTGTCTCTGTAGATACTGTAGTTAGGTAAAACATAAGGCTGAAACTAAAAATGGGGAACATGTCACTGTCTTTTCTGATACTAGCTAGAGGATTAATGCCTAAATTTAAAATCTGATGGTATGTTGACGACTTCAAATCGTTTTTCTTATGAACAATTTCAGACTAAACTGGAACAGGGTGAAAACTGCCTCTCAGCTGCTCTGCCATGTGATGTTGCAGGGCTTCTGAAACAGTTCTTTAGGGAGCTGCCAGAACCCATCCTTCCACCTTACCTGCAGGAAGGCCTTATCAGAGCTCAACAGCTAGGACATGAGAAGAAAACTGCAACTGTGTTGCTGTCGTGTTTGATGTCTGACAGAATAATTGAAGCTTTGAGATACTTTTTCAACTTTCTGAGAACTGTGTCCCAAAGGTCAGTGCAAAGACAGTGCTTTGTAAGCAGCTCCCAATTCCTTTAACAACTTGTCTCTCCAAACAGCTGTTGTAAGTTTCTGTGAGTGGTTTGTGACTTTAAACTTTCTTACCCGCAGTCATTCACTAGAATTCACTCATGGTCCTTTCTTTCATAAATCCAAAGCGTTTTCTTTATGAAACCTTATTTTGGTCTTATTTGGACTTTGTTCCATTGTTTCGTAGTTGTGTTCCTCATTCTTTGGAAAGCAAAAGAAGTGACTGATAAAAGTAACATAATATGATACCTTGAACTCCCCCTAAACTGACCAGGGTCTGTAACTTTTTGATTTTAATAACATAGTCATGCAGTTACTTAGCCTGAGGTACATAAGTCAACAATCTTGGTATGTGAACACTCAAGTGAATGACTGTTTTTGTTTCAACTGCATTTGTTTTATTTGGTCTTTTCTTTCTCCACTGCTTATGTCCTCATAATTTGTATTAAAAAAACAAAACAACCTTTTCTTGTTAAGATCTAGTGAAAACAGAATGGATAGCAGTAATCTGGCAGTGATTTTTGCTCCCAACCTCTTGCACTCGAATGAAAATGAAAAGATGTCAGCCACTACAGAAAAAAAAATTCGCTTGCAAGCCGCTGTTGTGCAAACACTTATTGACCATGCTGCGGAAATTGGTAAGATTATAAATGTTTATCACAGTGTCTTGTTGCACATACTGTATACAGCTTTTCTTTTCAATTTATTTAAACAACTTTAAAAAATTTTCTCAACTACTTCAGGACAACTACCAGAATTTGTCTTGGAAAAGATTCCTGCAATGTTAGGTGTTGATGCCTTCCAATCTACTCCCTCACTGTGTGGCCATGAAGACAGTGAAAATGAATCGCCCAGTGAATGTAAGAGGAGGAAGCACCGAAGTGTTGGGGGTAGGTATGTTGTGTGAAAATTTCAGCAACTAAAATAGAATTATTTTGAGACTTCAGGTGTGCTTATCCTAAGCACTTGCTTCTTCCACAAGCGGAATAGATGTCTGAAATTGGTTGGGATTGATTTGCAAAATCTGTATAAGACTTCAGTAATCACATCACTTTATTGTATATTTACTCTGAGTTTATTGTAGTGTGTCTGTTGTCCACCAAATGAGCTATTTTGCTTGTGTTCACGTTTGTGAAGCCAGATTAATGTTCCAGCTTTTTGAGTCAACTTCAGATCCTGTTGCAGAACACTGATGAAGTAAAGATGATTTTCTTTTTTTTGCTAGTTTTGAAATTACCCTTGCACATTCAAAGATATGGCTTACTTTGATAAGTCAGGTGCTAAGAAGGCAAAGGTATAAATGGTGTGTGTGTTTTGAATTAGAGTAACTGATCAGTGTTTTGAGGTGCAACTCTAAACTGGATATTATTGGATACTGTGTGCTCTGATATGGATCTGTTGGTTTGCGGGTTTTTTTTTTTTCAGTTTAGCTATTCAGTAGACTGTGGAGATTTTTACCAAATATGGACAGACAAATGGTATCTTCTCTGTTCTTCTGCATTATCTTTGAGGAAATACTGTGGAATATATATACTTGTCTTGATTCAAATCCACTGTAATACTGATCTCGTATGTATTGCTACAATACTTTGAGTATGTATTTAGCTCATGTACCTGGAATATTAAACCTGACAGTAATTGAAATTAAGGCTTTACTATTGTATATGCTTAACCAAGGCATGGGGGTTTTTGTGCAATGTGCTTTTCTACTCTGAAGAAGGGAGATCATCCTGGAGTTGCAGAGTGATAAGCGTTTGTGACTTAAAATTTTGAGGAGAAACAGTTAGAAATTGTTAACTCCGTGGAATATGTTCTGGTAGCAGGCAGCTTCTACTCTTTGTCCAGATGTAGTAAAACACAGTATTACTATGTTTTATCTATTTTCAAAGATGAGTTTAAAATCAACCTGATGTCTGCCAGATACCATAAGTAGTACTGCAGGTCTGTAATTTGTTAAGCTTTGCTATGAGCACATGGAAATATAACTGTAGGTTGCAACAGCAACAATACCTATATTATTTTATTAACGTGTGGGTTCGGATTTTCCTTTCTGGTACTCTAATTTGCAGAAAAAAAGCAAAATTAAAAACCAAACCCTAAGCTATACTGGTTGCTTTGCCTGTTCTATACTTTTAGTAAACTCTCAACTTTTTAAGCTGTTGTTGCAATTTTGGTTTCCTTAATTTCAGTCCTTTCATCAGTGACTCCGGTGGTTCTTACTCCAAGTACCAAGCGTAAGCTTCCAACTGATTGCTCTCAGGGCTTGTCCAGCAAGAAGAGAAGATCTTTTAAGCATAGTTTTGCTTTTGAGTTGTTACCAAATAGCATTTTTAGCAGCAGCTCAACACCAGCATCAGGTACAGTGCCTTAATTTTTTTCCTTCCTGCTTGAAGTGGTTGTTTATGGCTTTTAATTTAAGTGTACAGTCTTTTGTTATTGTTAGGCAGTCACCGATAATCTTCACTTAATGTTCCTTACACTACTTTCCTGTCTTAGTAAATAGTCTATGTTTATGTTTATCGGTGACTGTCATGTTACATGGATTGAGCAAAACAAAATTCTGTTTCTTGTTTTCTGTTATATTAATCTCAAATCTGCAGTCCTGATGTCCTTTTATCTTTTTCAGTCCCTCTATCACCTAAGTTATGCTCATGTTTCTGTCAGCGCACAGATCCATGAAGACTGCCTATGCTTCCAACCTTTTGCAAGCTGTAGCCTCCTTCTGCCTCCTAAACACTTAAATAGCTGGTTTTAGCTCTGTGAAATGTAATTGTTGCTATATAAAGGTTCGTTCTTGAGTCCAAACACCTTTTGTTTTGTCTAGATGCTAAATAACCTCAAAATTCTATAAAAAATGTTTTACCTTTTGTTTGACAGTGCTTTAATACCGTTTCCTTCTACTAGCATGCTTCCAACTGTCAGGCTCTTCTGCAGATCCTATTTTATTTTTGTTTGGTTCCTTATTGTGCTGCTAACTGAAGTTGGAATAAAAAGAAGAATTCTAGATTGGCTGTGTTTTGTCTAGTGATCAATTTTGGTTTTTTCCACAGTTGAGTGGTATAAAACTTCTTGGTTTTTTAAATCATTTCATGCTCATCCATGAAATTCTTGTTTCTATGGATAAGCAAACCAAAGTAATGACATTTTGTAAAGATAGTAGTAGAATAGCAACTCTTTGATTTATTGTTTCTTTGACTGTTCTGGCTAGGCATGTAAAAAAGCACCCTGCAAATAATATGAAGACTGAATGTAATTTTTCTTAAGCTCTTAAATTTGAGGAACTGATCTGATGATAACAGTGTGGAAACTTAATGGAGGTATTGATATATAAGTAGTGTGCAATTAATTGCAATCCAGCTACTTCTCTGGATGCTATAAGCAACAACTTCATTTAATATTAAAGTGCAGAAATGCAAAGTGTTTTCAAGTAAGCACTCCACAAAATAAGGAAGCAAATCTGTGCTGTTTAAAAACCTATTCTTTATTGTATTAACTGTTAAGTCTTTATCTGAAAAAATGTGACTGTTTTAAGATCATGTAAATATGATATTGTTCCTATAGTTCAGTTTGAAGCAAGCCCTTCTGTGTCTCTTGAGTCATCACAAACCTCACTGTCTCCTTCAACTGGTGGTGAAAATCATCTGTCTGGTACAGGGAACAGAAGAAGTAAAAGACATGCAAGCAAAAAATTATACAGGTAATTTGCCTTAACTCTCAGAAACTAAAAATAAATTGGATAAGTCTAGACCCCTTGACTAATGATGTGTAAAATCTCAATCCATCTTTAAAATTATATTTTTTGGTGTTCAAAACATACCAAATTTTTATATACAAATCCTAAAATCACCAGGTTTTCCATTGTGCCAAAACAGAGCTGAAAACAAAATAAGATCTCGTACAGTAGCCTCCTGTGCCTATAAAAAAGCTTGACAAGAAGACAATAGAAGTAGTAAAACTAGAAGAAATAACCATAAATAAGTGTCAAGATGTTTTCATTACCCTCCTAAAGAGTTTTTTTACGTGTTGCTTCTTCCCCTCTGTCCTCCCAGGGCTGAATCAGGAAAGACAGGTTGCTTTTCTCCAAAGATTAGCCGAAAAGAAATAGTTCGTAGGTCGTTACGCTTGAAGTTTGGTTTGGGGAAAAGCAACAGAGAAATGGTAAGTACTCTGCTTCTAATCCAGTCTTCTTGTTACTGTGCAAATTTTAGTCCTAAATTTTGGGCACTGCTTTTCAGTAGTAGGAAGGACTTATTTGGTAACAGGGATCATAGCATAACTGGGCCTGCTATCAAGTGCAAGGAGCCCTAGGTATGTTTTTGTAGCTGTGACTGATCAGCATGTACTGGGTTTAGCTGGGGTGGGGAACGGGCTGGGGGGAGGGGACAGCTGACCTGAACTGACCAGGGAACTATTCCATGTCATATAACATCAGGCTCACCAATAAAATTGGGATGGGGGGAGTTTTTGCAAAGTGGCCACTGCTCAGAGGCTGGTTGGGCATGGGTCTACTTGTGAGTGAGTGATTTTTGCATCACTTGCGGCTTTGGGATTTTTTTTGTTCCCCTTGCCTTGCCTTTCCAGTTTTCTCCCCCTTCCTGCTGGGGAGTGAGCAAGCGGCGGGAGCTCACATGCAAGCTAGGGTCAACCCACACTTGTGATCAGTAAGTCTGACAGTTCCTGAAATCCCGATATTACAGAGTCTATGCACAGAATCACTATATTCAGAGTGTGGCTAAGCCTGCCTTACTGCAGGTGGATTGTTCCCTACCTAGGTCTACAGAGTATAGAGGGAAGATGAAGTATGGCCAAGAAAAGGCTTGGAGGTTCCTCTGTAAATGAGATTCCAAATTACAAGTTTATATGAAAATAATCAATACTTTCTGTTTGTTCAAGAATATTGTATCAGGATGTGTGGTTGGTAATAGATCTGAAAATATTGGAAGGCGTCTTGCAAGTCAGCAAGGTTTGGAAAGCAGAACAGAATGTGCAAAGAGAGATTTACTCTTCAGCCCATGTGTCAATGAAAAATTCCCTAAGAAAAGTAAGTATTTAACAGAATATCTTAGCTGGGGAAAACTTTTGCTTTTGTAAAGCGAAAGTAACTTTACGGATAAAGGTATAAAAAGCAATTGGATTAAAAGTGCTTCTAGCTACTAGGACAAAAGTTACTTGAATGTTAGTGGCTCTTGGCAAAAAAGAATCAGTTTAGGACAGGCTTGTATTTCTAGTGTATTTTAGTAGCTCTCTTTTGTTAAGCAAGATGAGATATGTGATCTCAGTTCTTAATATTACAACCTTTATTTGTGTCAATGGAACTTAAGGTTGAGTAATGGCATCTTTAATTTTAGTGCTGCTTTGATAATTAGGGTTTCTAGCAAGAATTTTGCCTATAATGATCATTAAAATGTCAAGATATTATTCTTAAACACTGTGATATTTATTTTTAGGTTCAAAGAATGCGAGCAAGTCAGAGGAGAACTTGCTAACTACAAAATGTCACGATAACGTAGTTCACCGAATGTCATGGAATAGTCCTACGGTTACGTATTCTCAGGTGATCAGCAAGAATGAGGGAATTCTGCCAGGACACTCTGAAGTGAGAATCAGTTCTTCAGAACCTGTTTTGATATTTGGAAAACCACCAGCTGTTCCAGATGAATTTAAAGCCACAACTGTAAGCAAACAAGACAACAGCTTAGAACCTCTACTTTATGAAGAGGAAAGTAATTCAACTGCAGCAACGTTACTGAAAGTTAAGCAAGCCTTCTCTGCATCTGGAAGTAATCTTCACAATTTGATGGGTGACACAAAATCTTCCTTTTCAGATGTAGCAGGTGAAACATTAATGGAAACTCCATGTCTCACGGGGCTCAGTCTGGAGAAAGGCTTGTTAGCTGAAGAAGTTTCTGAAAATGTAGCAAATAAAAAACCCAGAGAACTGTTACACCAATTTAATCAATCTTATGCTATTGATAAACAGCAATCAAAAAAAGATGAAATTAAAGTCTTGGAGAAAAGAAACTTCAAAACTTCTATTGAGATTGAACTTCAGGTCCCAAAACCAGATATAAAAAATGTAACAGAACTTCCTGTGCCTCAAGTACTGGCCAGGGAAGACGAATTGTCTGTTCAGAACAGTTCATCAAAAGATTACTTCAACAAATTAGATTCCGCTGGAATAAAAGAGAAAATAGAATTAACACCCTCACAAACAGCTGAAAAGTGTGTGGTAAAATGCTATAATTTGGAAGAAGATACTGCTAATCTCTCTGTGGCAGGACAGCTTCCTACTTCACAGTTGCCTAAATCACAAAATGAAGTAGGCAACCAATACTTGCAAGCTGAAAATTCTGACAGAACTTTAACTAAGACATTAACTGTTTCTGACCATGGAAAGGTGTCTGACCACATACAGTGGTTCAACAAGCTTTCATTAAATGATCCAAGTTCTGCAAGCAAAACTAAACCACCTCTTAAGTTTCAGCGTACTCCTGTTAGACAGTCAGTAAGAAGAATTAATTCCTTATTGGAGGCTAACAGGCGATCTGTGAGCTCTCAGCTGCTTAAAGCAAGAGATGTGGGTTCACCGCTTGTTAAATCTTTGAGCTACGATTCTGCACTATTCTCCTGCACAGAAAAGCCCTCAAAGAATTCCGTGGTTTTGCCACTCAAGAGTGAAAGTACATATGACCAAGTTTCTATATCTCATAAGCAACTAGACTTGACATCCAAATCATGTTGCAGACCGTTAAATCCATCAGACAAGCCTGATGTTTCTGTCAGAACTACTGGGATCCATGAACAGAAAGCAACTGTGCATCCATCCAAGTCGGTTCTAGAAGATCTAACCAATCATAAAACGGCAAAATCCAGTTTAAAAGTTAATGCAAATATAAATATTCCAGATACTGCCCCAGAAAAATCTATAATCACAAGAAGTGCTCCAGGAAAAGAAAGAGTTTGTTATAAAGGCTCTCCAAAGAATCCAATATCTAAAGTGAAACTGCTACCAACTGCAAAACCAGTAGACCTATAAGATCGCATATGATGGCTAAATGGGCTTATTATAACTTGGTTAACCTTTGGAAAATCTAACTTTGTATGATTATTTTTTTAGCTCTAATTATTTGTATTTTTTGATTTATTTTTTAACTGTATGAGTCATGGACTTGTACAAATAACAACTTGAAGAAAACCTCAACATAAAATATTTACTGAAACATTTGCAAATGCTAGTCAGTTCATCCAAGTGAATTTGACTTCTAAAACAAAAATAACCTGTTTTTATAAATGTTTGTGTTGGATCTCATATTTTATTATCTCTGCTTCTAAAAACATGCTGCATCTCCCAAAACAATTTTTGCAACGTTTAGACTAAGTACCAACTTTTCTCAAAAATTCTCAGACATTTAAAACAAAACTAACAGATGTGAAAAAAAATAAGTTGTAAATAAATTTGATTACCAATACTCAGCATCAAGACATTTTCTAAGTATTGTAGCACACTTTGGTATTTCAGATGGACCTTACACCAACTGTTCTACTTTTGAGACAACAGTGTTTATTTCTACTGCAGTAGATTGGGAGCATATTTTCCTTGAGTAGGTAAATTAATTATATTTTGACATGTGTGCATACACTGGAGAATTATTAGAACACATGGAAAGTAAATGTGCAGTTTATTCAAGAATTGAAAAGTCTTAAAACTTGATCCAGCAATATGTTCTGCAATAGGTACCAAGTATTTTCAGTTGTGAGCAGTAAGATGTTTTATCGTAATATGGAAGGGTGGTTTTAACTTATTCTTAGAGCAATAGAATAGTGTTAACTTAGATGGTGCGGAAGCAGGTTTTAGATGTTGATAATGTTGCAAGAGATGAATGTAAGAAGCCATTGTGTGTTAAAAGTTGGTTTGCACAAGCAAATGTTTACATCTTTTGGAATTAACTGTTTGTCATCGGTAAAATTGAGTAAACACTTGAAACTCTTCGTTAGCTTTCTGTATGTGCGAATTGCTTATTGGCAAGATGTAAGAGCTGAAAGCACTGCATACTTTTGGTTTTAATAAAACCATTGGTTTTGTCCTTTTTCTGAGCTCGTTCTTCTATAATGACTTAGAAATTCAGATTATGTTACCATATGTGGACATCAGAAATGAGTAAGTCTGAAAATACTGAGGGCAGAAGGGATTCTGTTCTGACTCTTCTCTTTGATCATCTTGGGAATATGTTGGTGATTTTCACAACTATCAAAAGCCACAGTGCAACATAATATAGCAAGAGCAGGCCTCTAAACTTTGAGTGATATGTTAATGAAAGGAGTAGTGCTGCTTGCCTTCTGTTCCCTGCCTACTTACTTCCCCACATACCCACCGATTCACTAGCTACACTGGTTCAGCTCGGCAATCTGGGGGAACCTGCTGTCCCACCAGCCCAGCTGAGCTGCCTGCCTCTTGCTACATTATGGTCAAGATCTAACACTAGAGAAAACAGCCATGAGGGGATCCTGACAGGATTGTTTACTGTTGTGGTTAACTAGCAGGAGCTTCAGTTCCATGACGTAAGGGAGCCAACGTACCAGTTCCACCCTCCACAGAGGAAGCTGCTTCTGCCCGCTCGGGGACCTGCTCCAACCCTCTGCCTTCATGTGGCAGGTGCACCTGCCCAGTGAAATTGTGGCTCCCTGGCTGTTGAACCTTCCCTGTGCCCTTGTTCTCAGGGCTTTATGGCAGTTGGGGTCTTTGGCCAATAGGGGCTGGTAATGACCGCAGGTCAGATTTGGCTCGGGTATAAATGGAGTCTCTTGGAGGAAAGTTTTGAGCTCGTCCCGCCCAGAGCAGTGTGGTGCAGGTAAGGACCCTCCCCTTGGGTTGGGATGCTGCCCAAGGAGACTCCTCGGGGTTCCTACAGTTGGGGTACTGCCCTGAGATGTTCCTCAAGGTTGGGAGTCCTCACCTTTTATTGGGTAAGTGATTGAGTGCTTGGGGTTGCCATAGCCCCTGGTTGGTGTTTTGGGTTGTTGTTAAACCCCAGAAGTTTGCGTAGTGATAGTTTGTTCTCTTCTCAGGGACACTTGGACCTGTTGTTTGTATGTTTGCAGAATGTTGATTAATTGTGTATAAGAATAAATGTTGCTTTTTTTTTTTGTTAAGTGGTTTGGGAGTTTCTGCAACACTTTGGCAGGTCCTGCCCTATGCTGACAGTAGGCACCAGAGCACCACGTGCTGTATTTTTTCACTGAGGTGCATAAGGCAACTGCCAGCTGATGCAAGGAGTTAGGAGGTGGAAATAGGACAGAAGGAGATAAAGGCAATGTAATGAGGAAGAAAATGACATCAGACTCCTGTAATAATGAGCTGTTGCATCACTGTGTTTGAAAGGGCAAGATGAGATTTGTTATTGTTAATATGTACTAAATATTTTGAATGCTAATGCAGTTTCGACAACATGGCAGGGATGGAACAGTAAAGTATTTTTGATCATCATTGCAAACCAGTCTTGAACCAGTAGATTTAAATGTCAGAAAGGGAGATTTTGGTAAGGGCCTAACAAACAAACCCTTAAACACCAGGAAAGATTGTCAAAGTTGTAGGCTCTGTTTTTAGAGGGTTTATGGAACAGTTGAGACACACATCCATTTACATGAAATTGATCATGTTTAGGAGAAAAATTAGGAACATTAGATGCCCAATGGAAGTCCCTGCTGCTTTAATCCTGCAAGTTAGATGTGTATAGTGTACTAGAGAGAGTAATTTACATTTACATTTGAAAGTGCAGTTCATGGATCTGTTGGGGTGCATGGGGTATAATCTCAGAGCTTTTCTCTAGATACCTACCCTCAAATGGAAGCGGTCACATTCACAGCAGTAGCAGTGAGGATGTGTTACATAAAATAGCCTTTTTTCCAAGTGCTATTAAACGATAGACTTCATTTAGCAAGATCCTTTTACAATTGCCTTTTTGTTAACCTCTGCTGTGGATGATGCATATAGATTTGGTTGACCTGGAGACCTTTACCTGCAAGTGCTTGAAGATGGTTGCCGTGTTGTTACCAGTTAGGTAATGCCATCACTCTATAAGCAAACCAGAGATCATGCCATGCCGGGGAGAGGGGTCACAGCGGGAAGACGGACACAATCCTAGGAATATGTAGCATCTCGTTTCTGTAACCGCTAATCCACCAACAACCTTCAGTTTATTTTTAGACTGTTGTGTTTGGCTGAAAAGGGAGATCTTCAGTACACACACACCCCGTCCGTCCGTCCGTCCGTCCCCGATTTGTGTCATCTTCTCAAGGGGCCAAACCCTTGCAGCAGGCACACGGCCGCGGTAGGTACCGGGGCGAAGCTGGCGGGGCCCGGCTGCGGGGGGAAGGCGGCCGAGGGTCCGCGGCTGCGCACGGAGGATGCGCGGCCGCGGAGCCGCCGCAGCCGCAGAGGCGCGGCGGGAGCGGGAGGTGAGCGCGGGGGCCGGGGGGGGCCGCGGCCCCGCTTCCCGCGGCGGGGAGCAGGGCGGAGCGAGCGGGTTTATTTTCCCTTTAAATCGAAAAAAGGTGCTCGCCTCCTGTTCAGGGAGCGGGGGGGGGGGGGGGGGAGCCGCGCATAGGCGGAGCGGGGGGTATTTCCAGCATCGGGGTTTTCAGCCATTTTTGTCTCAAAGACGTTTTCAGGTGCCTTGCGTGGGGCGGGTGGAGCAGCGGAACATCTTGAAACGCCTGGCGTGGAGAAATAAGGCCGCTGTGTGCGTTTTAAGGAGGATAAGGGGGATTTGAGAGATTTTTGTTTATTCAAGGGATTGGGAGTGATGCGTTTTAATTATTCTCTCGTGAAGGGGAAAGGAGCTTTAAGAAACAAGCGTTCCGATTAAAATTTGGCCTCTCAAATAGGACAGTAAGTGGTGCTTGCTTTGGTTTTAATTGTTTTTTTTTTTTGTTTTGTTTGTTTGTTTGTTTGTTTATTTTTAAATCCTAATTAAACTAGGAAGTGCAGCTGTATAGTGAAAGGGATTCAAGGAAACAAATGAAACCTATTTGCTTCAGGTGGGGAAGATGATGCATATGAAGTAGGAAGCCTCTTGTCTTAAGGAACAAATAAAATATACTGTAGGATATTCAACAGTTTTTAGTGATTTATTTTCAGGCAATGCAAGGATAGAGCTTGGAAAACACAGCTTCTGGCTAAAGAGTTCTTTGCTTTTAGCCCACAGCTATAGAAAATAGCATAATAAGTGGGGGGGGGGGGTGTGGGGGGGGGGGGGGAAGGGAAGCATATTCTCACTAAATGAAACAGTGGGTCCATTTTGTTTGCAGTGACTGTCAATGAATGGTATGGGCAAATGCATATCAGAAAACGGATTTCTGCAGTTTTCTGCTTAATTATTTGCTTTTTAGAAGAGAAGAACCTATCCACCCCATTCCCCCTGCTCCTACCTCCTCCCTCCCCCCCACCCCTCCTCCCCTCAGTTTTCAGCTGGCTAGATTTTCAGCTGCCCTTAGAAACTGTGGTAGTAAACTGTGATGTGCATTAGTAAGATCAGAAGTTATTTCCAGCATGCATACTGGACTGTTTTTCCACTATCATTTATAATCAAATTCCTTCCTTTTTCACAGGATAAGAGTGGCTACCAGAATGACAACTTCCTTGCTTTGTAACATGATATTTCTGCTGGCATTTGGATTGGCTTCGGCTTTTAGCCACAGCCCTAGGACCCCTGACAGGGTTTCTGAAGCAGATATTCAGAGGCTCCTCCATGGGGTCATGGAGCAATTGGGCATTGCCAGACCCCGGGTGGAATATCCAGCGCACCAGGCTATGAATCTCGTTGGTCCACAGAGCATCGAAGGTAGCTCATTTCTACTTTATGATGAATTTATTACTATCCTTTGGTTAATAATTATTGTTTTGCATATAGATGCAGAATATCCTGATCTTAAAATCATGGACTTTTTCACCATGTAGTTACATGATCTTTGTCTTAAAATCATCATCCATCTTTTACCATCTTTAATGTAATGATTTTGGTGAAAGTAGTGGGGTGTTTTAATGTGCAGGCTTTGTAGAAAAAGTTGTGTTGTCTTAGAATTGTCTGGTTTCTAGTACCTCAAAACAATGGGTTTACTAAATTCTTCCCCATTAGTGTGTATAAATGTATCACATATATGTTTTACATAAAACTAATGTAAGCCATAGATCCCAAATCTCACAGATTTTTAGAAACATTTGCAGACCAGAAGAGGTCAAACGTTTGCAGTGTCATGCAAGATAAAGGGAGAAACTTTATATGGGGGGTTCTTCCTACGTGCTGTAGCCCTCCGTGGGGCAGGGTCGGTGCTGGAGCACGCAGGGCTCCAGGGCCTGGGATGGGAAGGACACGGGTGCTCCTCTCCCCGTGACCACAAGTAGCACCTCAACACTGTGTTGCTTTGATGAATGATCTGGGCTCAGGTTCATTGTTTTTGGCCAGTACTTCTGGTCTCACTCTGGGTGAGTAAATTTTCCTTGGAATCAGTCTTTTATAACTATGCAAACCATCTGAAATATCTGGCTCAAATGTTAGGGTATTAGGATAATGTTGCAATGTATTGCTATTTGAATTGTAATAAACTAGTTTTTATTTGGGGATTACAGAAAGAGGTTGAAGGTATGCAATTTCAAATATTATGGTTTATTTGCAAACACCAAAACAGAGCAGAAACTCCCCTTCTCTCAGAATTAAACCACTTTGTCACAGTATAACGAGTCTGCACAAATTCATAAGCCTGTGCCCTTTATTTTGTCCCCCTTCAGTCTACAGATTATCCTAGGCAAAGAGATACAGTTGCCTTAATGGTGGCTAAGGAGAGGATTAAAGCTGAATAGGCATTTCTACCAGATAATTGCGGACTTAAATTTATATATTTTCTAAAGAAACTTTGATGGACATATGCTTTTCTGCAAGTTTAAATGGTAGCAATTAGGCTTAAGGAGGAAAATTTGGTCTATGCCCATTCCTTCTCCTGTATGAATGTTTGTACGTAGAGAAATTGGAACAGATTGGTAGAAGTGAGTAATTTTACTCTCCATCTCCCTCTTTTCCCCAGACTTTTTTTTTA